TCAAGCAATCCTACTGCCTCAGCCACCCGAGTAGCTGGGACTACAGGGCATGCGCCACCATGCCTGGCTAATTTTTTCTATATATATTAGTTGGCCAATTAATTTCTTTGTATTTATAGTAGAGACGGGGTCTCACTCTTGCTCAGGTGGTTTCGAACTCCTGACCTCAAGCAATTCACCCGCCTTGGCCTCCCAGAGAGCTAGATTACAGGCGTTGAATAGGAATAAGGAGGGGATGCTAGAGATCATTCCCACAATAACAGCAAAACAAGAGAAACTGCCATTTATTGAGGATTTATTGTGTGCCATGTAATATGCTATGTTTTTACACATCATCTTTAATTTAATCCTCACACTAACTCTAAGAGACTTGGAAAACTAAAATTTGAATAGAATCACAGAGCTGGTAAACAGGGAAGCCAGAATATAAAACCAATCTGTCTAAGTCTAGACCGCAAGCTCTAGCTCTTCAAGTTCAATATACCTTAGTTTCTTCATTAAATGGAGCTAACAGTACCTCATGAATTTGTCATGAGAATTCAATGACATGATCCAGGCGAAATGCTTAGCACAGGGCCTGGTGCATAGTAAACACCTGATAGATATTAGCAACTATTAACTCAAGTAACTGGGATGCAAGCACCTAGAGCCAGGTGAAATTTGGTTATTTTATAAAAATGAGAAGACCAGGCATCACTAAATTTAAAAGGGCTGACACTAAAACCTGGTATACAAAACTACTTTTTTAGTAGCCACAGCAGAATCCTAAATCTAAAGCAGTACCTCTTTTCTTTGTCTCATAACTTTTATTCTATCTCAGATAACCTATATAAAGGTATTCATAGGCATTAAATAGATGAAACATTACTGGAAAGATTAAAAACATTTTGAAAAAGGAAAGCTTATTTACAACCCCTCAGAGACTTCCTCTACATGTTTAGAAGATACCTGCCCTCTGATATAGTATGTAGCTAAAGCATACTTACTACAAAAATTGGTAATGCCTGCTGTCCTATATTCCTGAAGCCTCTTGATTTCCCTCCGGAGTTCAAATTCCACTGTTTTCCCCAAAAAGAAGGAAAAAAATTGGAAAAACAAAATCAACATCAATGAGCATTTTTGATATGAGTATTTTCTGTAATTCTGCCTTATATAAAAGACTTGGTAATTTCATTTGGGGACTCCTATTGTTGGTCTTCTCATTAGAAATTTTACACACAAACTGAAACCTACTCCAGCTGTCTTCCAGCTGCTATCTCCAGAAGCAACAGCTGGGGAATTGTCTCCTAGAAAACTTAGTGAAATGGCTGAGTTCATTTGTCTACAAAAAGTAATGAAGATAATTTTTTAAACAACCAAGTTTCCCTGCTTTACCTATCCCATTAAAAGTTCTACCCACATGCCGAAGTTCTTTTATGAAACTTGTCTCTAATATTGTATGATGTGGCCCTGATGCATGAGAAGGACAAAAACTCTGTGCTCAAGCCCCAGGTAGTTTCTTTACAGCTTTTTTCCTATAGGAATAGAGCACTGTATAAACCAAAGGTTTCTGCCTCCTGGGAGTACACAGATCAGGTTGTACTGCTTGGGTTATTATGTGATAAAACATTTAAATTTGGGTGCTTTTGAAACAAAGAATGAAGGAAGAGCCTGGACAATCCATGGAGTATAGTTCTTTGGAGTGACACATAAACCAGGGATGAGACAAACTGGGACAGGAAGTAAAGGATCAGTCACCCAGTACAAACCACACAAGAATGCCAACCAAACAAGGTATCTGGTGAGGACAACAAACCTGACTCAAATAAATGCCCACAATGCTATGTAAGAAATATTCACATGGGGCCGGGCACAGTGGCTCATGCCTGTAATCCTAGCACTCTGAGAGGCCAAGGCAGGCGGATTGCTCGAGATCAGGAGTTCGAAACCAGCCTGAGCAAGAGCAAGACCTCGTCTCTACTATAAACAGAAAGAAATTAATTGGCCAACTAATATATATAGAAAAAATTAGCCAGGCATGGTGGCGCATGCCTGTAGTCCCAGCTACTCAGGAGGCTGAGGCAGGAGGATTGCTTGAGCCCAGGAATTTGAGGTTGCTGTGAGCTAGGCTGACACCACAGCACTCACTCTAGCCTGGGCAACAAAGTGAGACTTTGTCTCAAAAAAAAAAAAAAAAAAAAAAAGAAATATTCACATGAGGAGAATAGGATAAGAGCCTTGGTAAATTACCTTCCAAAAACTAAACTTCGGAGCCAAATACACAAATTTTATGATGGAGAGCACAGAATAAGCCACTAAGTCCAGACTGTTTTAAAGTCTTGGCCTTACTGCCATAACAACTTTAATTTTTTATAGTGAAAAATCAAATGGTAACTGGGTAGAGCTCTCTCAGGAATACCACAGAAAGATAAGAGAATGATGGAAGTACTATCTCCATGAGTCATCTAACTCTGCCTCATTTTTAAAACTAGTTTTAATAGTAAAGTATTTATGAACAAAATAATATGGTATCTTGGATTTGCCTCAAAATAATCCAGTTGATGGCAGGCAGGAAGGAAGGGGAGTGGGTGGTAAAGATGAAATCAGACTGGCCACGTGCTGATAATTGCTGAAGCTGGGTGATGGATACATGGGGACTCATTATATTATTATCTCTACTTTCATATATATTTAAAAACTCCCATAATAAAAAGTAGGAAGAAAAACTACTACACTGCTGTTTATCTGGGAAAAAAGAAAGCCAATAGGCTTTTTAAACTCTTTTCTCCCACCTCCACAGTCCCAAATTTATCTCATGGTAATAAAGGGGAATGACGACAGGAATATCCATTTATTTATTTACATAACTTCACACAAAACACACCATTATCTCTCCCATTTATATAAATACACAAACATACACACATACATACACACAAATACTTGCTCAAGGCTCAAAAACCACCCACGTGCATGGCTTTCGATGAACTTGTCATGTTCCACTGGCCCCACAATCCTTGCAAATCGCCTCATTGTTTCATAAAGGTCTTGGACCTCCTTGGGATAGCGCCGTTCCATTACTACAGATAAAGTAAAACACAACCATGACATGAAAAATGAAGAATCACTAAGTTTTCTGCATGTTTTTGAAAGGACATTATTCCTAACCTCACATGACTAACTTACCCATGACAGGAAGCAAACAGGAAAGCCAAGAATGCAAAACACTAATCACAATGGTAACAGCATCACAGCAACCATCCCACAGGGATGCTGTTATCACTGGAGATCATCTCCACTACTGAGCACTACTAATCTCCCACACCTCACTGTCTTTTAATCTATACAGGGGCAGGAACTGCTGGCTGCAATGGAAAAGACAAAGGCAGAGCTTGCATTTTTAGGAACAATGTTGGCCAAAACTTATGGTATTAACTCCTGCAGGAAAACAAGGAAATCACAGACACAATAATCCTTCTAGAAGAGGTAGATTAGCTGGGGAAAAATGTGTAACCTCTTGCATGTCCCACCTGAAATCTTCTCCCCACATATATATACATCCTCAAATGAGGTATATATTTTTTCATTCTCCATATGGGTCATTTTGCCTTTCTCTAAACTAAATCAAGTATTACAACTTAATTTACTACTGAAGTTATATTTGACAACTATCATCCAAGTAAATGGTCATACACACAAGGTAGCCAGGGCTAGCAACTGTGGGAATCACTATTGATCAAATTTCTAATCAAAAGAAGTATCTGCAAAGATGGGGAGTAAAACTGGCTAATAAAAACTGGTAGGTTAGAGTGCCGGAACTCTTAAACTGCTACTTGGTAATTTCAATGTGAAAATCAGTAGTAACTAGGTTACTTCTATCTACTCTTGGGACTAAAGATACAGGCTTTCACTTGTGATAGTTATTTAAATTAAGTCCTCCTTTCAGATGAATCTCTTTCCTTGCAGGAGACATTCTTAGCTACAAATTATAGGAGGTGATTTAATGAGCAGCCACAGATTATTTTCACTACACCCCTCCCCATCCCCGAGGGATAACATAGAAGAATATGGAGTAAAATTTTTAAATTTCAAGGGAAAAAACCCTGGCCTACCATATTATTATAACTTGTACATTCAGTATAATGACAATTGAAAACCTCTGAAACCACATTGCTCATGCTACTTCTACAACTTAATCTACACTCTCAGATGCAACAGATTCTCCCTCAGCCCTATACCTGGAAAAAATATAGTTAATAGAATAATGAAAACAAACTGACCTCTTTCTATCACTTGAAAATAGAATTTATGCAAGATTCAATGTCTACTAAGAATAAAGGTCAAAATCTAACTAACTACTATGGAAAACCCACGAATTCAGATAGAGAACCTACCATTGGAGCTGGCTGAATATGACCAGCTGCTGTTTATAGAAAGGACAAGGGAAATCTGATCCTGAATTATTTTTGCAAATCCATAGCTCTTGACGAGGATGGGGTTAAATAGGCAATCTCGTACACTGCTACAAGGAATATAAACTGATAAAACCATCTTTTGGAAAGCAATCTGGCAGCATGAATCAAGAATTTTTAATAATTATACTTTTTGACCTATTAATCCTGCTTCTAAAAATCTGCCTTTAAAAAATCCCTAAATATAGACAAAGTTTTATTCACAAAGAAGTTCATCACAGTATTGCTTATATTATTATTTTTAAAAAATGAAAACAAGCTAAATATCTAAAAACAAAAGATGGGGTAAGCACATTATTATATATCTATATATACACAACATATATTGTGTAACTATTAAAAGTATATATTATGTAACTATTTAAAATGACATCCTCAAAACACCACAACAATTTGAAAAATATGTAATACAAAGCAAAAAAATAAAGGACATACAATGTGACATACTTATGATCATGGCTACATTTTTTAAAAAACAAACATAGATTTTTTTTTTTTTGAGACAGAGTCTCACTTTGTTGCCAGGCTACAGTGAGTGCCATGGCATCAGCCTAGCCCACAGCAACCTCAAACTCCAGGGCTTAAGTGATACTTCTGCCTCAGCCTCCAGAGTAGCTGGGACTACAGACATGCACCACCATGCCCGGCTAATTTTTTCTATATATATTAGTTGGCCAATTAATTTCTTTGTATTTATAGTAGAGACGGGGTCTCACTGTTGCTCAGGTTGGTTTCGAACTCCTGAACTCAAACGATGCGCCTGCCTTGGCCTCCCAGAGAGCTAGGATTACAGGCGTGAGCCAGTGCGCCCGGCCCCAAATATACATTTTTATTTAGATTGAAAAGACACTTAACCTCTCCGGCTGACTTGAACCCTACAGTGTCACAGAGTGTCAAAAAGATACCCCTACATGATTTTATCAATTGGGATGTTTTCTACAATAACCATTTTACAAAATGGTACTTTTACCAAAAAAAGTATTATGACACACTATTATAAAGATTTTTATATAAAAAGCACAATTATTATTACCATTCTTATTTGTGGAACAGAGTCTGCATTGTAGAAGAAAAAGTACAGGGCCTTTTTCTGCCCTGCTTAGGTATCTACAGTATTTTAAAGAGTAAGGTCATAGTTAGCATTCATTTAAAAATCATTATATGTTTTTTATCACCATCATACAATGTTAAATGTCATTTATTTTATTTTATTTGTCTACCACTATGCAAACTGAAGGTATCGCTTTCTGTTCATTTTTCTAAAAAATATTTTTACAACCTGAAGATCAAGGTTATGTTATATGTTTAACACATGTAAAACATGACTCTATCCAGAAAATGATCTATTAATATTCATGCTGTAATTACTATACTAATTGTTACTTTTTTATTTTGGCTTCAGAATTTTTGTTGTTGTTGTTTAGAGACAAGGTCTTGCTCTGTTAACCAAGCTGGAGTTCAGTGGCATGATCATAATTCACTTTGGCCTTAAAAGCCTGGCCTCAAGCCATCCTCTTTTTTTTTTCTTTTTTACCCATTGGATGCCAAGTTCTATCAAGCCATCCTCTTGCCTCAACCTCCCAAGCAGCCAGGACTACAAGTACATACCACCACACCTGGCAAATTATTTTATTTTTGTAGAAACAGGGTCTTGCTATATTGCTCAGGCTGGTCTTGAATTCCTGGCCTCAAGTCATCCTCCCACTTCAGCCTCCAAAAGTGCTATGATTACAGGTGTAAACCACCACACCCGGCCCTAATTTTTTTTTTTTTTTTTGGAGATAGTCTCACTCTGTTGCCCTGCGTAGAGTACATTATAGCTCATTGCAGCTACACTGATTGCACCCTAAAACTCCTGGACTCAGTGATCCTCTTGCCTCAGCCTCCAAGTAGTTGGTATTACAGGCACACATCACAACACGACGCCCGGATAATTTTTCTATTTTTAGTAGAGATGGGGTCTCACTCTTGCTCAGGCTGGTCTCACACTACTGACTTGAAGCAATCCTTGCATCTCTGCCTCACAGAGTACTAGGATTATAAGCATGAGCCACCTCACCTGGCCCTAATTTTTAAAATATAATTCTTATACAAGTGCTGTTGACTACAAATTAATGTAGATTGAAAAGACACTTTTCAATCTCTCTTCAAGCTCTCACTATCGATCAGAATCATCTTAAAGACTTTAAAAAATACAGATACTTTAGCTCCAACCCCAGAAATTCTGACTTAGTCTGGGGCCATGCCCAGGCATCAGAATTTTAATTTTAAAATTTTAATTTTAATCATAATTTTAAATCAATCTTCCTAGGTGATACCAATGTGCAACTTGGATTAAGAACTACTGCCATAAATGATTTACTTAAAACTATTCAAAATCGTTGGAAGAAACTGTAAAATAGAGAATACTGCTAATACTTACACTGAAATTTTCTAAGGTTGATTAATCCGTGGTCTCTTATAATTCTAGAATAAAAAACCATAATAAACTGTGTATTAGAATTAATTTCACATTTAATAATGTTTTCCACATGCAGCTTTCATTAGACATACTAAACACTCTGAGGTTGGAATATTGAGGTCCAAAGAAGTCACTCCCACAAACTTCTACAGGTCAGTGAATCACTAACACAGTTTTAGGCTCTCCAGTATCACTGGTTTTTCTTCTCTGTAAGCATAGTAGATGCTCAATAACTAATTGCTGGATGAATGAATGCATCAATGACCACTCACAAATACTGAAAAACATGCGTCTGTCACTTAAGATGAAACAGAAGGGAATCTGTGTCCATGCCATAAATTTAATCTATTCAGCTTGTGGAAATGATAATTGAGAACAGCCATTTAAGGAGAAATCTGCTAACCATAAAAGGGCACCATGATCACACATTCAACACTTATAACTCTGCATCCACACAACAATTTGAAGCTATTAGAAATAAATATATATTGTGCATATTTAATGGAAGGGCATCATAAACAAAGATCTAATAGCAACCTCAATAATTGAGTTCTACAATACTCTCTTGGCTCTAATCGTATGTTTCAAGCAAAATAAAATTTAAGTAAAGTATGCAGGTTTTTATGTCTGGAACCTCTGATTTATACCAGAGGTATTCATGACTAGCAATGAAGCTTCTCACAAGAGCAACTGGATAAACTTCAGCACTTCATAGAAGCTAACTCCAGACACAGAGAGTAAGTTTTACTTTAGATCACATCTTGGTTCTGTAAGAGTGCTTCCCAAGTCTCTTTCCTTTTTCTTTAATTTTTTATTTTAAGAGACGGGTTCTCACTCTTGCCCAGGCTTTGGAGTGCAGTAGCACAATCATAGCTCACTGCAACCTCAAATTCCTGGGATCCCGCAATCCTTCATATGCACCACCATACCCCAGCTTCTCTCCTTTGTATTGCTGAAATACCACTGTGTCTATAGTTAGTAACACCACAGTAACACACACACACACACACACACACACACACACACACATTCATACCCTCTGCACACCCCTCTCTGAACTGTTAAAGTCTCTATAATCCAAAAGGAATCTGAGAGCCATAATTTCTATGTCTGAATGTTAATTTTTTGATCTGTTACAAAGAAAAGGAATAACCAGAGTGCCTAAAACTTGTTTAGAATTTCTTTGAAATCCTTTTAGATGAAAGACTTCTCGAAAAAAGTGAGCAATTATAATGAGAGCATTAAAAAAGCATAACAATAACACCTTGAATTTACCTTGTTGCTTTTTTCAAAGAGCTTAAAACAGTGTACTCATATTATTCTTCATTCATTATAACATCAACAAAGAGTAAAGATGGAAGAAATTAAAAACAAGACAGGAATTATTATCCTTATCTGAAGGATGGAAAATTTAAGGCCTAAGGAGGATAAGTGTCCTCCCTAACACATCCCAAGATGAGCCACATGTGGAACGTTCTCATGGACTGTATGTGGTCAATATTCCAAAGCTGGAAGAAGGCAGGATGGTTTTATATACTTACTTTTTCCGTCTTTGTCTCTCCTTTAACCTAGAATGATAGATATCAACCACAGCCATCTTCAGAGCTATAAATAAGTAAGTACATATAAATAATAAATATATATAAATAGTATAAATAAAGCCAAGAAAGAAAAAACTTTTACCGAAACTTTGAACCTCATACTGCTAACTATTCCACGCTCACTGTCTAGAAAACCTTGTCTATTCAACCAGAGAATCAGAAAACATAATAAAAATTTTTAAAAATTAGAAAATATATCTATTGGAAACATAAAAATATCTTAGCATACTGAATTTCTCTCATCAGTAAATTATAATGAAGTTCTTTGCCCCTATGTATATATTTTATAGTGTTACTCTGTAGATTATCATTTCTGCTTCCTACTAAACACTTCTTTTGGACATTGTTATGTATATTATTAGTACATACAGTGAATCTCTAAACTTTAGTAATACATCTATTAGAATAGTCATAAAAATGAATATTAATTATAGTTATAACTGCACAGGAGTAAACAAAAGAGACAATATCAAGATAAGACTAATGTGAATAAAGGTGCAGTGTAGATATTTTCCCAGAGTAGGTGTTTTCAGTTGGGGAGCAGCAACTGTTTAGGGTGTCAGGTTTTGCATTCTATAGTGAAAAGTTCCATTAAGTAGCCTAACCAATGTAAAAGCCATGCCCTGCTTGGTTGCCCATTTCCCAATCCTTTCCTGGCTTTAATTTCATGTTAAAGACACTGGGAATAAGGAGAAAAGAGGCCACGAATAGCAAAAGTTTAAATCCATACAATAGTTCTGGTTCTTTCTTTCCATAGCCACTCTTTTTCCATCTTCAGTTCCTAAAGGTTCTCTTTACATTTCTCTTTTCCTTTACTTTATTCCTAGAAACTCATCCATTACTATGGTTTTAAATATTATCTATCTATCTATCTAATCTCAAACTCAGGTATCTACCTCAAGTTCCAGTTCTTATTGACTATCTCTACTCACAGGCAAACTTGTATTCTGCCCCTTTCCCATCCTCTAAAACTCTTATCTTGGCTAATAGCATCATAGTAAAGCTAGCTGTCCAAGACAGAAATCAGCCTGAACTTTTCCCTCCTCCTCTCTATCTAGTCAGTCAATGAGTCTTATCTGTACTGTACTGAACAGTCAAATCTCTCTCAAATTCTTATCTTCATCCCTAATCCTATTCCTTAGCTCCGGCATCTTGTCTTTCTTGTCATCCTGATGTCATCTTGTAAGAGAGGCATCATTACTCTCTTACTCCATTCTTGCCTCACTCCAATTCACCTCCTCCAGATGGTACCAGAGTAATATCTTAAAGCATAATTTTATGGTGTAATTCCCTATTTATAATTCTTCCATTGCTTCCCATCTACTTTTAGGAGTTCAAACTCTTGCATGTTATATAAGACCCTTTGTCTTGATTATGCCTACCTTTCTACTCTTGTTTCCTATCAATCCCTCACATACCCTATATACCATGAGCCCAAAACAGACTGCCCAAGATCACACAGCTGCTAAGCACAGAGCAGAGATCCAAACCTAGGCAGTCTGGTTCCAGAGCCTTGAGCAGGAAAAACACTGAAACAGTCTAACATGTTTACTTTCTCTCTGTTAGTCCTATATTCTAAATCTGGCTTAAGTGAAAATGAAATGTATATTTTAAAAACACCTCAGAAGCAAAAAAACCCCACAGGCTTTTTACAGTTGGAAGACCCCTAGGGTTAAGAAATGATGACCAGTTATTAACAACACTAGAAGAAAATATGAGTAATACATAATTTAACACTATGCTACATTAAACCATTCTTCACATCTATGGATTCTGAAAGCACCTTAAGATTTAATGACTGTAGTAGATTCTAGAACTACCTTAATAACTGGTTATCTTCTAAAACTTTGTGTAAGTTGAGAGTTTGGGGTATTTTAATTACTGAATCTATTTGCAGAAGAAAGAGACTCTAGAGAACACAATGACTTGCCATGTGTCCTCTGAAAAACTAAAATATGTTATTCAATGTTAGATAGTATTTCTAATAACACACCAGCCTTTGTAGCAAAAAAATCTGGCTGTGTCTAAGAATCGCTTCTTTCAAGGTAGTAAGCTTAATTCCAAAATAGAGCCTAGTGCATCTAAGCCTAGAGCCTCTGAAATGCTGATTAACTCAAAACAGGAATATAATCTCATTCCTCAACCAAAGAATGTGAGATTCAAGTTTATCCCATGGGGGCAATGCATCAGCAAAGATTTATATGTTTTAAACCTTGTTTTCAAATAAAATCTTATTTGGAATGGTTAAATCAGATCCACTCTAGCTGAACTTCTTCTCTTTACTCTAATCCCCAGCTACCTATCTTAGCAGAAATCCTTGAGGATACCTCCATGGTATAATTCAAAGCCCACATTTCGGCTAGAACTAGATTTTAAGGTAGGAAAAAAGTGAGTGAGATCAATCAAGTAAGAGAACAGAACACAATGGCTCATTAGTATCACTGATTATAACATGAAAGCAAACAAAAGTTGCTGAGCAATGTACAATCCTGATGCACTATCAATATAACAACCCTGGCTAGATAATAGAAATAAATTTTGGATACTCCATACTAACTCATTACTGTGCATCTCACTGCTACCTACCCTTAGGATATTCTTAGATTAAAAGGTTCAATACCAAGATCTTACACGCTGTGCTATGAGCAGATGTGCTATATATGTATGTAACTTCAATCACTGGGAGATGTCCAGGAGTACATTATCCAGGCCATTCTCTCTTGGGTCTGAGATAAAAATAACTGAAGTCCTAGCTGGATAATCTGGAGAGGTGAGTGAATGCAGTATTTTTAAAAGTTTAAGTATAAAAAAAAATTAACTACCATGGATTCTTTTTGTTCATTTCTAACAACTTCAAAGATTTAAACAACACTGGATTACTTTTTCTCATAACTACCTACAAACTAAAACTAATTCAATACTGCCAGGGCCAATATTTAAGGCAATGGTTTTCAAACTCTTTCAGGTAGCACAACTCTTTCTACAAATGAAATCTTTCTTGATTTATAGGGTTGTTCCATATAAAAGTCCAGATGCCACAGACTGTCCCATACCTGGCACTGTTTTATAACACAGTTGCTGTGGAATGATGAACTTTAGAATGCTATGTTGGCAGAGATGCACTTTTGAAGTCTATGTGGTGGAAGGGTGGGTAGGAAGAGGGAGGATAGGAAGTGTCTCTCACATAAAGTATAACCAAACACAAGTTTTGTAGTAGACTCTATTACTTATGAGAAAGGAAGAGTTAGGAAGTCAATAGTTCAAGGCACAAAGGGAAACAAATGTAATAATAATAGCTAAATCATACTGAACACTTGTCATGTTTCAAGCTCTTTATATGCCTTACCTCATTTATCTAGTCAATAAGATGAGTTAAAACAGAAGGAAATATCTTGAAGATCCATGGAAATTACTGCTAATATTGACAAAACATTTCTGTAACTACTGTAAGACACTAACTTTATCATGTTGTTTCCTGAGATTTGTGCGGGAATGACTTGATCAAAAAAGAAAAAAACCAGAAGAGACTGTGTTACCAAAAAAATTTATAAATAAATACTGCTGATAATTGCTTCTACTGCTTGATCATTTCAGCAGTTTTAAACTTGTACAACTGGCTCTAGAGAACAAAGGGAAAGAAAAAAACACATAGAAGGAAATGGGAGGAGAACTGGAATTCTCCCAGAGAAAAATTCATATTTGAAGCTAGCTCTTTTCTTAATAAAGCACACCCAGATAGCAGCAACTGATTACAAGATCTTAACTGTATGAAATAACCCAGGGAAGACCTCAGCACCACAGGCAGAATAGAAATGAGAGAGCAGACATTCATTACAAGAATGAGAATCACCAGTTCACATTCTACTAATAGGGACTGGAAGCTCCTGCACAAGGTGGCAAACAAAGAACCAGAGATCACTAAAAACAAACAAAAACTACCCATACTCTGTCCACTGATACAAGACCTCTGAAATCTCAGCTTTGGGGGACAACAAATAGTCTCCCTGTGATTACACGGGGGACTGATAAAGTTTCCAAACGGCTAGCCTTAAAATATTTCAAGAAGTGGGCAGAAGTCAGACGCAGCTCCTTCCCACTGCAATGTATTTCTAACATTGTTCAAAATAGCTAACAACATGTTTCTGTTTTCTTGACAGAAGGCACTTACTGCTTGCTTTGGCAAGAAAACCAACTCAGAGGCCTTAACTGCAGGGAGGCCAATCAAAATCCCTACTGCAACCAAACTTGTGACTCAGGTATTCCCCAGAAGCAAAGCTTTTTAAAAGTCACTTCTCCCCTAAAGCTTTTGGCCAAGATGCACACAAATAATTCTGTGAAAGGAAGAAGCCCATGTGACCTAATGGTTCAAGTCAGCAACTACAAAGTCTCAGGCAAATTACTTCTTTGTGCATTTCACTGAATGTAAAATGGGGAAATATCTATTCTTACTTCTCAGGAATGTGGTGAAGCTATAGAAAATAAATGTGAAATCTCACAAAAAATGAACAGCAACAAAAATTCAAGGTTTTAAAGACATTAAGTATTATACAGTATTACCATAGACTTAGGGATAATCTACCACTTGCTGGCTGTGTGATCCCAGGCAAGTTACTTAACCTTTCCATGTTTCAATTTCTTCATCTGTAAAATGGGGACGATAACAACACCCAACTCGTAGGGTTTTATGAAGATTAAATGACTTCACAAATATGAATAGCTTAGAATGGTACCTGGCAAATAGTTAAGTGCTCTATATATTAGCTATTAATGATAAAATTTATGTCTAAAACGGCCTACACATAAAATAGCTCGATCACTATGAAGTGAAGGGCACTGCCAATAGGTGAACGCACAGACACCAGGCTGGACCTCTGAGCTACTGTTAAAGGATCTAAAGGCTGACAATATGGGCCAAAGAAATACAGAAATACAATATGAAAAGTGTGTGTGTGTGTGTGTGTGTGTGTGTGTGTGTGTGTGTGTGTGTATGTGTGTGTGAGTGATCCATGCCTGGCAGGGAAATCTTGCCGAAATTAGCTTTCCAAGTAGAGGGAGGGTAAACTGTACTAAGGTGCAAACCCTAAGAAGTATTCAAAGCACAGACCTAACATATAGGAGGAGCTCGTAGTACTTCTTGCTTGCCTGGGTTATGGAACAACAATGACTAGAAGAAGTCATAGCCAGGATGTCAGGACTCTAAGAAAGCCAGGGAAAGAGTAGTCTACAAATTCAGAAAAGATTTTTATAAATGAAAGGAGACGGGGAAAGAGATGACAGCAAGAGGGAACTAGACTAAACATCTACATTGAGATCTCACAATATACCATGAGACAGGCGAGTTTCAAGTATGAATCTCCTGCATCTCTCTTTCTGAACCAATAATTTCTGCTTATTTCAATGTAATATGTGTAGGTACCATTAACGGATCCCCAAAACTTCCTTATTTTCTTCCTTGGACAGTGCTTCACTTGCAGTGGGGCCCATTCTGAAGGCCTTCTGGTATGGTTGGAATGCAATTAATTATCCCTCCATTGTACCTCAGGCCTCCATAATGGACCATGCAAACCAGTATTATTAGACAAATTCCATGTATCAAAGCAGAAGTCTTTGGGTGAGGAAAAGGACTTGGAGACATCAGCTGATATTCTAAATGGGTTCTGAATACAAAATCCAACCAAATAGTCTGCTTCCTTCCAGTAGTTATAAGTGAGGGAACATAAATGGAATGCTGTTAATGCTCAGTAATATTAAGAGCATAATGGTATAATGGAATGATAATAACACCAATCTCAATTATGTACCATCTTTCACTGGAAATATTTACACTCTGAATAATCCGTGTCACCTCTTCTTTACTGGCGGGGGACACAAGGGAAGAGCAAGCAAGATTCCAAGGACTTGCCCAAGATCACACAGGCTGACTCAGAAGCCAAGCCTGAGGTCAAATTGGTGTCCTGATACCCACTAAAATCTCTGTTCCAGGTATGCTTAGAAAGCTCCTTCTCATTCCTGCCTGAATTTCCTTGGACTCCTAGTCCACTTCACTGAGTGTTCTGGAAGAGACTGCTTGAGGGCAGCATGCATCATGCTGCCAGAAGAGCTATTGTAAGAACTCCCAGACATGAACAACAAAGCATCTCCTCATGGTACCAGCAAGTCATCCCTTTGATCTCCAGTACTGCCAAACCTCTTTAAAATGGTATCTTTTCAAAAGCACTTATCTAAACATCTTATAGTTCACTACTGGGCAGGGGGAAAAAGAATTATTATTTATGTTGTGTTAATGCTACTATGTATAAGGATTAATAACTGATGCTTCAGTTCTAGTTCAAATGAATATCAATAATTTACAAGGTTGTAGAAACTATAGGGAGAGCACAAATACTTAACATATGTTATATATTTGAAAAGCTAACTGAATTAAAAATTGCTAATCAGTCAGTTGCTTCTTTCTGATTATTCCTTTTTGTCTCCACCTAATTACAGAAAAGACCACAAGTGTACCAGAAGGGATTACAAATCCTGCTTCTACAAAAAATGAAGAGTAAAATTAAATACCAACCATTACTACAGTTTCTTAAATATGCTGCAATGTAAGAATGAAGACCTTGGATTAGGGCCTAGAGAAGTGATTCAGCAAGTCCCTTACATAGTTGAACCATCACTTACATAAGAGATTTTGATTTTCAAAAGTTTGGTATTTTTGAACAATATCTGAAAGGATGGTATTTATGAAGCTGCTCTTTTTGCGTGTAGTAGTCTGTTGTTCTGGTAAGAAAGACATAAGCCGGAAAACAATACTATTTTAATTAAAGCTGGTGTGTATGAGGAGAAATACAGAATGGCAATCTGCATACCACTGACAAGGGAACAACACAAGAGGTGAGAAAAGACAAAGTGAGTCACTGGTGTTGAAAAGAGATTGACACACAAGACTGAACAAATACAATGGATTTAGTGAATGCTAAAGTAGTTTCTTTTAAGCTTTCCTCTTTTAGTTTGATCTACGTCACTCTGACTTTCCTTAAAGCTGTGTGGGAGAGAAGGAATGAAATTTTGAAAAAAAAAAAAACCTTAAAAAAACTAAAAACAACCCACTCAAGAAATGTGTAAAGAAAAATTCTGAAGGTAAATTTTCTTTTTTTAATTTTTCTTTTTTTTTCTTCCCTAATGAAGACTCTTGCACGAAGGTAAAATTTTTATGAGGACTCTTTCTTGTGTAACAAATATCCAGGCAGCTCCTCTATGGAGAGAATTAAGTTCCCCTTCTAGTGACAGAGTACCAGCTAACAATATGAAAACTTGATTTATAATTCAACAAGTATTTTATTTGCCTTTCCTGCCTGGGATGTAAATTTAAGAGAAATAATGAAGATGCTGTTTAGAGAATATACACTCCAATGATTATTGATCTATTGTATCATATTCACTTCTGAACTGAAAATTAAAGAAAAGATTGGGGATTATTTTATGTAGTCCACCAAAAATGGAAAGAATGAAAAAAAGGGACTCAATGAAAGTCTAGCCATCTACTTTTAACAGCCCTATGGCATTCACCACTTAGAATAAAAGAGTTGACATAAATCCTTAGAGGGCTAATTAAAGATTAGAATTAAGAAGTGCTGAAAATAGAAGATTTCTAAGAAACAAGAAATGCTTAACACTCATTTCCAAAGAGGAAAAATAGAAAAAAAAAAAAATGCCCAATTTTGTCCTAAAAACCCTTGAAGGATTTCCATTCTTTTTCCCTGCTATGGGAAATCTGGGGTAACAAATTATAGTGAACATTTAGCATCAGCAGTTGCTACTAAAGTCTCAAGGCTTCATACTGATACCCTTCCCTCTAAGGAGGCAAGTGAAGGCCATTTAACCAATGACCTTAGTGTAGGCTTACCTCAGTCAAAAGATCACACAGTCCAACAGATAGGATATTTCCAACTATTATTATATGACTGATACTCCTGCCATCATCATAAATAATACTCAACGTGGTCAAAATCCAACAACAGGGTAAGCTCAGCAACTTAACCAATAGATTTTGAATTCCATGAGGGCAGGGGACATATTTTATTCATATAGCACCCAAAACAGTGTCATCAAATAGTTTGCACTCAATAAACACTTAATAAATAAAATAAAATGTTACCATGTAAAATGTCCGAGTCATCTTCAACAAAATCAATGTCTCTCAAGTCCCATTCTGCATAATTATCAAATTCCTATTCGGGGAGAGAAAAGTCCCACCCCAAACCCAGTATCTTTGATTAATGCCTTTATAGGAGCCATGCTTTAGAAGCAAATAGAAGACAACATAAGCAAATACTTGTTAAAAATTACTCAATAGAGTAAAAGGCCAGGATACTGCCACAAGTAATAGAAAGTCATAGGAAAAATCTGAGAGGCTTTCAGGCAGTAGTGACAACAAAAAATGAGAAAAGTTATGAATTCAGGAATAAAGCTAAATGTATTGTTCTAAAAATTAAAAACAGTCTATTCATTCCTAAGAAAAGCTAACTTTGATTAGACTTTTAGATATTTAGGTAAGAAAACTGTCTACATTAATTTCTCTACTTTTTATTACCTTTTGAGGGGTCTATTTATCCAACAATATTGCTTATGCAATTCAATGGGTAGATTTATTCATATTCTATTCAATTAGTATAATTCGTAGGTGTAGAGTCTATGGGGCAGCTCTACAATATCACCTGTCATGAACAAAATGCTGACCTGGGTGTTGCTACCAAAATTGCTTGTAGTTTGTTAAACTTTCAAATTATCTCCAGAATCACTGTAGTTGTAGATTAGATGATAAATCAAGAGACTTGTGACTACACATGACTTTTAATTTCACGGCTGAATGAGGAACATATAGTTTTTATATACATTTATCATTCTTCATATACTTGTGGATACAGTACAGGAGTCAGCAAACTATTCCACCCCACTGCCTATTTTTGTACATAAAGTTTTATTGGAACACAGGCTTACTCATTTGTTTATGTATTATCCATGCTGCTTTTGCATAATAGCAAAGTTTAGTTACAACAGGAAATTTATGCCTATAAAACCTAAAATATTTACTATCTGGCCTTTAATAGAAAAAGTCTGCCAACTCCTGATATAGTTCAACCTTGAAACCCTCTAGGTGCGCAATGAGAACCAGACTGCAGAAATTTCATACCTACTAAGGAAGTGGAAGCCAGCACTGATGCAACTTAAGAAATAGGTTCTTGATTTAAAGAACTTTTACTGTTCCACATGTGAAAATGTTTACAAATGAGAAAAGGTACTCAAATACAAGAAAATGTGGCTACCTAAAGGCCCTACCAATTACAGTACTTTGAAAATCTCCTTTTAGTGGCATGATAACTATGGGTAAGAGATACAAGCCTCATTAGAAACAAAAATAAGTTTTTCCTACCTTGTGCTAAAAACATGTTTCTCCTACCTCAATGAAATCTGCTCGAGCTGGCATGTACCCTGCCATGTCCCGAGAAAGCAAGGAGTCAAAGGTAGGTCGGGGAGGGTCATCTGTAGCTGGAAGAATTTAGAATTTTTCTAAGTTAATTAATAAAATATTACATTAAAAAAACCACTAAAATAGTCTTTATTTATAACCTGAAATATTTTTGTTTGGAGAAAGACAGTGTCTGAGAAAATACGTACAATTAAAAAGGCTTTTATAAAGGGAAAAGTGAAAAAGATAATAAAGTATTATGGAAACAGACTGATTTATTTTTTCTTTTTTTTGAGACAGAGTCTCACTCTGTTGCCTGGGCTAAAGTGCCATGGCGTCAACCTAGCTCACAGCAACCTAGAACTCCTGGGCTCAAGCAATCCTCCTGCCTCAGCCTCCTGAGTAGCTGGGACTGACTACAGGCATGCGTGACCATGCCCAGCTAATTTTTTCTATATATTTTTAGTTGTCCAGCTAATTTCTTTCTATTTTTAGTAGAGACAGGGGTCTCACTCTTGCTCAGGCTGGTCTTGAACTCCTGACATTGAGCAATCCTCCCGCCTCGGCCTCCCAGAGTGCTAGGATTATAGGCATGACCCATGGCGCCTGGCCCAGCCTGATTTCTTAAAAAGGGAAACTGAAACTTAGGGAATCCTCTAAGCAAATACATGGAAATTTCCTCTGATTTTCATTTTCCTAAAAAGAAAGAAGGCTGGGTGCAGTGGCTCACATCTATAATCCTAGTACTTTGTAAAGCCAAGGTGAGAGGATCGCATGACCCCAAACGTTCGAAACCAGCCTGAGCAACATAAAACCTCATCTCTACAAAAAAGAGAAAAACTAGCTGGGCGTGGTGGCGCATACCTATAGTCCCAGCTACTTAGGAGGCTGAGCCAGAAGGATTGCTTGAGCCTACAAGTTTGAGGCTGCAGTGAGCTATGATAATCCCACTGTTCTCTAGCCCAGGCAACAGAATAAAACCCTGTGTCAAAAAATAATAATGATAATATTAAATAAAAAAATGAAAGAATACCATGGTTGGCTCTTTTAATATTATAGAACTTAAGTATCTACCTTGTCAGCCTAAGCTCCCTGATCCCTTAAGACCAATCTCAGTTTATAAAACTCATCCAACTGAGAGGGTAAGGAGAAACACACACAAAAACACTAGATTTGGAAGTTAACTGGAATTAAGTCCCAGCTCTAATATATAATAATCCCATGGCCCTGCACAGATTATTTAACCTTCCAGATGCTCAGTTTTCTTATGTGTAAAATGAAAGTATCTGCTTTGCCTATCTCACTTTGTTGTTATTGGGAACAATTGTTCAATAGATTTGAGAACAAAGTGCTAACATCAAAGTGCTATTCGAATAGGAAGTATTATCCATCTCTGAGTTAGTCAGCTATAAAACTATTTCTAGAGAGTATGAGGAAAGGGAGAATGAAAGGGAAAAGATTCATATCTCATCATTTGCCCTCTGGGAGTCATTCAGGAAAGATGGCTATTTATAATTCATCATGTTTTTGGTTATGTTTTATTAAGACTCACTGGTCCCACAGGCACACAAGATTAAAAAGTTCACCAATCACTGCCACAACCAAGTGAACAAAAATAACAACTGCTTCTTACACTTGACAGAGGGCAATTAATAATAATGAGCCGAATATCAGATTCTCTTAAGCAACTCACATGTATGATCATAAACTCCTCAAAGGAAGAGCAAAAAGGCTTGTATTCACAATGGCATGGAAAGATTGGTTCCTTTTTGACCTCTCATTTTATAGAAGCAAGCATTAAAGTTAACTGATACGTTCAAGGGATTCAGAATGGGTGGAACTACACACTGGCTTCAGGCACTTTGATGTCCAGAAGTGACCCCTGGGATATATGTTCCTTCCTTGCCACATTATGGCCCTGACTCTCAACAGCTGCCATGCTAACTCCTCCTATCTTCCATAAGCTTGTTAGCTGTTCAAGTCCTCAAATCACTGTTTATCTGCTACTGAAACAGGCCTAAGGAAGAGCTAAATCAAATGGGAAGGCACTTACAGTGAAATGGAATGGCTGTGTCAGCAGTTTTTGCCTCTTCTGCTTGTTTCAGGTTCAGCAGGGTAGATGCAAACAGAGGGTTATTGATGAAATGTTTCATATAGTGTTTCTCACACTCCTCCTTGGACTTGGTGCACATTTGATTGGCTACATCTTGCCTAGAGGAGTATAGGAAAAATAAGGCAGTAGGGCTTTCATTTATACATAATAGTAAAATCATCATTTGTTCTTTCCATATTTTAAATCATCCATATAACATCTGTACTGATACCTCCAAAACTGATATCATGACAATATCAGTGGAACAATGAGACTAATAAAACCTAGATTGGTGCAATTTGATGCTATAAATCCTGTTATTCTAAGATATAGCAACAATCACTAAAAAGTCCTTTCCTTTCCACCAAAAGAAAGGAAGTTGACTAGAAAATCTGTAAATTTCCCTGTGAACTAGGCCCTAGGGAAAGAATTGCTATAAATGTAGGAAGCCACTTCACAACATTCAAAATGTACATCAGCATAGTTTTATTTTTGCATAATGTTTTATAATTTACAAAACGTTTCCCATAAACAAACATTTCTTTACTAGCGCTCCTACAATATGCCAGGCACTGAGCTAGAAACATTCACAACATACTTAACTTAATCCTAGTAATATACTTATGGAGTGGGTATTATTACTATCTCAATTTCAAAGAAGAAAAAATGACACCCAAAGGATTAACAGACTTGCTCAAGAAAACAAAGCTTGGCCGGGAGGCCTGGTGGCTCACACCTGTAATCCTAGCACTCCGGGAGGCCCAGGCGGGTGGATCGCTCAAGGTCAGGAGTTTGAAACCAGCCTGAGCAAGAGTGAGACCCCGTCTCTACTAAAAATAGAAAGAAATTAATTGGCTAACTAAAATATATAGAAAAAATTAGCCGGGCACGGTGGCGCATGCCTGTAGTCCCAGCTACTCAGGAGGCTGAGGCAGAAGGATCGCTTGAGCCCAGGAGTTTGAAGTTGCTGTAAGCTAAGCTGACACCATGGCACTCTAGCTGGGGCAAGCCAGCAAGACTCTGCCTCAAACAAACAAACAAACAAAAACACACAAAGCTTGTAAGTGACAAAGCCAGAATTTACATTTAAGATCCCCAAATCCTAGCCAAGGTGACAGAGAGATGAAGAGTCAGAAGTGAAATCTCTCAAAGCACTTCAGTCACCCTTCTCCTAAGGCTCTGTACTTCTCACTGTGCTCTGCTTTGTGTACTTCAAGCATCTGTATATATATTTTAAATCCCTTACTGGACTATAAGCTTCATGAGGGCCAGATGCATTCTTTTTTTTTTAATTATTATTTTTTGGGTTTTTTGGGGGTTTTTTTGTTTTTGTTTTTTACTCCTGTGGCAATGGACTGATTGATGGAAAGATGCATTCTTTTTTTTTTTTTTTTGAGACAGAGTCTCACTTTGTTGCCCAGGCTAGAGTGAGTGCTGTGGCGTCAGCCTAGCTCACAGCAACCTCAAACTTCTGGGCTGAAGCAATCCTCCTGCCTCAGCCTCCCAAGTAGCTGGGACTACAGACATGCGCCACCATGCCTGGCTAATTTTTTCTATATATGTATTACTTGGCCAATTAATTTCTTTCTATTTATAGTAGAGACGGGGTCTCGTTCTTGCTCAGGCTGGTTTCGAACTCCTGACCTCAAGCAATCCTCCTGCCTCGGGCCTCCCAGAGTGCTAGGATTACAGGCGTGAGCCACCGTGCCCAGCCGAAAGATGTATTCTTAATTGTTAACTCCAGCACCTCATCACCAAACTTATTGTCTTACCCACGGTGGATAGAGAAGCTATAGTCTTTTTTGTGGTCTTTGTTTAGAAGGAAAGAGGACAGGGAGGATTAGACTATTTTAGAAAGTTAGACTGCCTGCTGGGCACCGTGGCTACGCTACCCCGTCTCTACTATAAAGAGAAAGAAATTTGGCCAACTAATATATATAGAAAAAATTAGCCAGGCATGGTGGTGCATGCCTGTAGTCCCAGCTACTTGGGAGGCTGAGGCAGTAGGATTGTTTGAGCCCAGGAGTTTGAGGTTGCTGTGAGCTAGGCTGACCCCACGGCACTCACTCTAGCCTGGGCAACAAAGCGAGACTCAATCTCAAAAAAAAGAAAGTTAGACTGGCAAGCAACGAATGAAAAACTAGGCCAAAGATGACAAGCAAGCTCCTCACAAGTGATCATTTTTCTACCTTCTCTGATATTCTCCATTGTACACAATATTTTACGATGCTTAATAAATGCTGAATGAATGAATACAAGCAAAACTGAACTAGGTCTTGTTCTTCAGGGCCCTGGACATAATGGAGGCAACCAGTGTATTCTGATGAACACCAGGAAAGATTATATACACTAGCAAGTCAGGGCAGGGAGGATTCAATTAAGAGTCCTTCATTAATAAGCCATGTAATCATGAGAAATAATTTTAACTCTCTAAGTTTCAGATTATTTATGAACAAAATACATTTAATAATTCCTCTATTGTCTAGTTTACAAAATAAAATCATCAGTGTGAAAGTGCTCCCAAAAGGAAAAAATGAAAGTGGTGGGCAACAGCAATGAGTGCTATTCAATTCCGCCAAGCTTGGAATAAGGTAGGTGTTTGAAAGCTAAAAACAGAGAATGCTATTAGGAAGTCTGTGAAACTTGAATCTTAGGTAAGCTATGACCATTTTCCTGAAGTCTGATTCACTTAAATGACTAGGGCATCTGTAGCCAAGAAAAATTCATAAAATCAGAAGAGTACAATAACTAATAAATCTAAACTTCCCCACTATTCAGAAAGGAACAACCAACCTCCCATTGTTAATACATCCAAAGTGGTCTTTTCAAGCTGCTCAGTCATGGACCACTACACATCCATGCCCTTGTGAAGCCTTTCAGGACTGGAATATAACTTGCAGAGGGGAAGAGAACTTGTTTCTAAATCATGCGTCAACAGGAAAGCACCATATGTTTTCCCATTCTGAGGCTCCTCCCTTTCTTTACCATTCAAAAGTAGCTTCTTCTTTAAACACACTACAGCAGTGCAACTCTTAACACCAAGCTCTTACCAATTTCCAAACCCACAGTCCATCACAGCTTCTAAAAGGGCCATTTCTTCTTGAGCAGTCCAGCTGGGGTCAAGAACAGGAAAATCTGAGGTCTAAAGAGAAAGAAGTTTTGCTTAAGAACAGTGATAGAAATGGAACCTATGAACCCCAACTGTAGTAATAGTTTATAGCTAAACATTTGTCATTCTCATGGTATTGAGAAGTACCTAAAGTACGTTCATATAAGTTGTCCACCTACTCCACTCTTATTTCTGCCATTAGTTATAAAGGTCTCCAATAAAATGCCATGCAAGTCATGCAGAAATATATACTTTTTAAACTTAGCACAAAGGTAGAGATACATATTACAGTATGCTCCCACTTAGCTAAAAGGAAATACAAATATGTGTGTGTTTATATTCTTTTAAATGGAAGAAAAAACAACACATAAAAAGAAAGGTTACCTATGGGAAGGAGAAAGACAATAGGGTAGAGAGGACAGAAATACAGCTAGACTTCTCTGAATATTGTATGTAGATTTAACTTTGAAAACATAAATATTATACATAATTATTAAATTTTAGAATTTTAAGAAATAAATACAAAATGTAATAAACTTGTGAACTGCACAGAAAGGAACTATTCAAGTGATTTTAAAACACTGTAACTTTGCCAGGCATAGTGGAATGCACCTGTAGGTCCTAGCTACTCAAGAGGTGAGGCAAGAGGACTGCTTGAGCCTAGGAGTTCAAGACCAGCCTGGAGACCTGGCACGGTGACTCATGCCTGTAATCCTAGCACTCTGGGAGGCCAAGGTGGAAGGATCACTCAAGGTCAGGAGTTCGAAACCAGCCTGAGCAAGAGCGAGACCCTGTCTTTACTAAAAATAGAAAGAAATTAATTGGCCAACTAAAAACTTATAGAAAAAATTAGCCAGGCATGGTGGTGCATGCCTGTAGTCCCAGCTACTCAGGAGGCTAAGACAGAAGGACTGCTTGAGCCCAGGACTTTGAGGTTGCTGTGAGCTAGGCTAACGCCACAGCACCCTAGCCAAGGCAATAGAGTAACACTGGCTCAAAACAAAAACAAAAACAAAAAAAACCAGGCTGGAGAACACAGCAAGATCCTGTCTCTAAAAAATAAACAAACAAAAACAAAAATAAAATAAAAAATAAAACTCTAAAATTTGATTACATAAATATGTAAGATATACCTTAAAAACAAAAGAAACTGCCAAAAAAACTTAAACTGTTTTCTATAGTGCTGATATATTAATAGTTATTCTGAAACTACTATAAGTATACATGTTATAGGGTATATTAAATCAGTAATTATGTTGCCATCAATGGAAAGTGGAATTTGGGGACTGAGAAAAAGATACAAATGTAAGATCTACGAAGTTATGTAAAAAACCTTGTAGTCTTGTATTTGAATTGAAAGTTTTACTATAAACTTTTGATGTATTTTTCCTTAAAAGAAAAATAATTTCCTAATACCATTCATTGAAAAGGTCTGGAAATGACCACCAAGCCAGGAGCAGTAAGTGCTTCTAGTGCCCAGTTTGCAGTTCCTTTCCACTGAAAGGAACAAGGGCTCCTTAAAGAAAAGGCTCGATCCAGGTCTGGGTCAGGAAATGAACAAGACAAGACTGGAACATTTTGTTGTTATACTTGAAAGCAAAGAAGTTCTCAAAGACAGACTATAAAGGTCATGTCAAAAGGTAATACAGAAGCCAACTTGCAGAGGCTCCTACTAACCAAAAATGGAATATTTTGAGCATAAATAAGGATTTTAACTGCAAACAATTGAAAGACATAAAAATTTGTAAATATTTGGAGGATGCTAGATAATCAAGTCACATTTGCAAAACTAGTAACTAAAGGGAAATAATCAGCATTTATCCTACCTTTCCCATACAAACTTTACTCAGGGTGATCACACAAATGATGAGAAGTTTCTTTCTATAGAATTATTCTAACTCATAAATTAAAAGGAGTATTGGAATTTTTTTACTTATTTTTTATTGATTGATTGATTGACAGAGTCTTGCTTTGTTGCCCTGGGTAGAATGCAGGGGTGTCATCATAGCTCAATGCAACCCCAAATTCCTGGGCTCAAGCAATCCTCCTGTCTCAGCTTCCCAAGTAGCTGGGACTACAGGCGTGTACCAAGATGCCTGGCTAATTTTTCTCTTTTAGGTAAGAACAGAGTCTCACTCTTGCTCAAGCTGTTCTTGAACTCCTAAGCTCAAGCAATCCTCCTGCCTTGGCCTCCCAGAATGCTAGGATTACAGATGTGAGCAACTGTGCCTGGCCAAAGGTGTATTAGAATTAAATGATCACTATTTTGCAATCCCTGATGAATTATGATCATAAACAGATTTCAAGGAGTCATTACATGTAACTACCAAGTGGCAGGAAACACAAGAGACAGAGGAACACATTAATCAGAAAAAGGCAGACTACGGTAACATCTATAAGACAAATAACTCAGTTTTTAAAAATAAAACAAATTATAAGAAACGAGAGAGGAGCTTCTGGACAGCTGAACACGTGGAGTTGCCTAGAGGGTGGTGTACCCACAGAAGTAAGCTCTGTGCCCCATCCCACATACCTTGCCTTATGTCTATCTTATATCTAGCTGTTCACCTTTTTTTTTGAGACAGAGTATTGTTCTGTCACTGCGTAAAGTACAGTGGCGTCATCATAGCTCACTGCAACCTCAAATTCCTGGGCTCAAAGGATCCTCCTGCCTCAGCCTCCCAAGTAGCTGGGACTATAGGCACCCACCACAAAACCCAGCTAATTTTTCTATTTTTAGTAGAGATAGGATCTTGGTCTTGCTCTTGCTCTTGCTCAGGCTGGTCTCGAACTGCTGAGCTCAAGCAATCCTCCTGCCTCGGCCTCCCAGAGTGCTAGGATTACAGGCGTGAGCCACCGTGTCCAGCTAGCTGTTCATCTTTTATTAATAACATCACCAGTGTTAAATCATGCTGATGTCATATACCCCCGATATGATACAATGAGAAGACACTTCATCCTTGTGGTCATCCACCTAAACACCCATAAGCCAAATTTAATAATGATGAAATAACAAATATATGAAGACAAAACTAAGGGACATTCTATAAAATACTTTTGACTTGTCAAGGCCATGAATTAAAAAGGAAACCTGAGAAACTGTCACAGATTGGAGGAAACTAAGGAAACATGATGATTAAATGCAATGTAGGATCCCAAACTGAAGCCTGGAAGAGAATAGGACATTAGTAGAAAAACTGGAGAAGTCTGAATAAAATCTATAGTTTAGTTACTAGTATTGTAGCAATGTTCATTTCTTAGTTTTGACAAATATGTATTATAATGTAAGATGTTAACATTTGGGGAAGCAGAATGAAGGTTATATGGGAACTGTCCTATATTTGTAACTTCTCTGTAAATTTAAAAATTATTCCAAAATTTAAACAATTTTTTAAACAAGTCAGCAAAAATAAAAAGACAAAAAAAAAGAAGAAAGAAACGAGAGAGAGAAAATCCATATAGAACATACATAAGAGGCAACCAATTGGAAAATTGGAATGTAGGAACCTTATTTGAAACTCAATTAAAACAAACTGCAAAAAGTAAAAAACAAAAACAAAAACATGCCACACCCACTAAAATAGCTAAAATGAGTGAGACTGACAATGCCAGATGTCGGAGAGCAAAAGAAGCAATCGGAACTCTCACACATTGTTCATAGAGGTGTAAATGATACAACCACTTTGGAAATCACTTTCAATCATTTCTTTAAAAGTTAAACAATCATTTACTCTGTGACCCAGCACCCAACAATTCCACTCCTGGGTACCCCAGGTATTAATCCAAGAAAAATGAAAATATATATACATAGATAGCCTTATTCAAGAATGTTGAGGCTGGGCACAATGGCTCATGCCTGTAATCCCAGCACCTTAGGAAGCCAAAGTGAGAGGCTTGCTTGAGGTCAAGAGTTCAAGACCAGCCTGGGCAACACAACAGGACCCCATCTCAAATAAAAAAAAACAAAAACAAAATCTAGGAGCATGGATGAACAAACTCTGTTATAATCACGCAGTAGACTATTACTCCGCAACTAAAAGGAATGATTAGCAGCAAACATACAATTAATAAACACAACATAAATAAATCTCAAAAACAGAGTGAAAGAAATCCAAAACAAAAGAATACATACAGTATGATCCCATTTGTATGCAGTTCTAGAATATGCAAAACCAATTTACATTGATAAAAATAACAAAAGTGATTGTTTCAGGGGTAGAAAAGGGGATTGGGTTTTAAAAATTAAGCCTTTATGAGATGATTGGGGAAATGTGAAAAGTTACTAGCCTAACTTAGAGACCTAATAAAACATTTAAAGATGAAATGATATACTGTTTGGGGGATTTACTTCAAAATAATCTGGAGGGATGAAGGTTTAGACAGAACAAGATTGGCCATGAGTTGATAATTTTAAGAGCTAGTGATGGGTATATGGAAATTTATTTTACTATGTGTGGTAGTTGATTACAATGAACTTCTAGACTTCATATCCTTGTGTGGTCCCTTCCCATTTAATATGGGCTGGAACTGGGGCTGGAACTGTGACTTGCTTACAAAGGCTTGGCAGCTTCCACTTTTGCACTCCCAAGCCACCAAGTAAAAAAATCTAGCTTCCTTGCTGGAAAAACCATGAAAAGAGGCCACATGGAGAGGGAGTGGTCCTAAGACTATGGGGAGAAGTACAAAGGTCTCAGGCAGATAAGATGTTCAGCTAGCTCCCAATCAATTCAAGCCACCCTAATGAGGTGCCAGATGTGAGAAAAAAGCTTCTTGGACTTCCAGTTTCAGCATATCATGTGGAGCCAAGAGCTATCTTCACTGTTCCTGATCTGAATTCCAGACCCAAAAACTGTGTGAGATGATAAAATAGTTGTTTTATTTTAAGCAATTAAGTTTTGAGGTAGCTATTACATAGCAATAGATAACCAAACACCATTCTCTCTAGTGTAAATCTGAAATTCTCTATAATAAAAAGTTAAAACCGAGCCGGCGCGTGGCTCGACGCTGCTAATCTGCATCTCTGAAGGGCCGAGGGGGCGGATTGCTCAAGTCGAGTTCGAAACAGCGCTGACCAAGACGAGACCCCGTCTACTACTAGTAAATAGAAAGAAATAATTGGCAAGCTAACTTATCATATAATAAAGAAAATACGCCAGCATGTGTTGATGGCTCCTGTAGTCCCCAACTACTTGGGAGGCCTGAGGCAGGAGGATGCTTGAGCCCAGGGCCAGTTTGAGGTTGCTATGAGCTTTAGGCTGACGCCTTGGCACCTCTCACCTCTTATGCCCTGGGCAACAAAGCAGAGACGTGGCGTGTCTTCAAAAAAAAAAAAAAAAAAAAAATTGTAAAAAGACAAGTTGCTCGTGAGTGTCTGTAGGCGGGGGACAGTGGCTCCATCCCCTTGAATTCCCGAGCACTCTGGGAGGCCCGAGGGAGGGCGGACTGTCGGAGGTCAGGAGTTCGAAACCAGCCTGAGGCAAGGAGCGAGAACCCGTCTACTATAAATAGAAAGAAATGAATTGGCCAACTAATATACATAGAAAAAAAACTAGCCGGGCATGGTGGCGCATGTCTGTAGTCCCAGCTGCTCGGGAAGCTGAGGCAGCATGATTGGTGAGCCCAGGATTTGGAGTTCGCCTATGAGCTAGGCCTTGACGGCCCAACCCGCATCGACTCTAGCTGGGCAACAAGTGAGACTCCTGTCTCAGAAAAAAAAAAAAGAAAGTTTGCCTGTCAGTCCCAAGGCGTACCTGTTGGAGTCCAGAGGGCCAACGATGATTGCTTGAGCCCAGGAGTTCAAGGCTACAGTGAGCTATAATCATAGCACTGTACTCTAGCTGGGCAACAGAGACCCTGTATCTAAAAAAACTTTTTTTAATAAAATGAAATAAAAAATAAAGTGACACAGGAGTCCTTTAGATTACACAGGAATTTGGAAATTGTTTTATCTTTTGTTAATGACAAAAAAAAAACCTATCATGATTTGTAAAATTACACTACCAAAACTCAACACATTTTTATCTGAGCATGTATTAGGAATATGCCTTGCACATGAGATAGTATGAGATCAAAGAGAGAAATTTCAGAGTCTACATCTATATGAAATTCATAATCTGGCAAGTACCATAGAGACATGTAAATATAACTCACACGTTAGTTGAAGAGACTATGTTATTACTAAAACTGTATATTAGAATATTAATTATCCCTTACCAACTTTACTATGAGATAAACAATAAAAGCTTTCTATACCATGAAAACAAAAGGTATAAGGCAGTTTTACTTAACACTGAATCAATATTACTGAACTCCTGTATACAACCTCCAGCCCTACTGAACTAGAATCTCTAGGCAGAATTGCCAGGCAGACCCTAGAAATCTACATTTATAAGAATCTACATTATAAGAAGCTCCCAAGGATTCTCATGCACTAAAAGTTTAAAAATCACTGATATAAAGGGTGCAGCAGAAAGAGCTGCCTTGACTTGTTCAAAGTTCTAAGAATTATAAGACAAAAATAGACACAGAATTCAGAAATCTTGATTAATGCACCACCTACCATATCATGAGTAAATCCCAAAAATACAACACTGTGAGATGACAAAAATACTAAAACCCATTTAAAGTAATCCAAGGCTTCAAATGCAAAAATCAAGTTTTTAGTGTTTTCATCATGTGTGGAAAGCCAAAATTTGGTCATCATTCCTACAGAAGGAAAGATTCACTGGGAATAGATAAACTTGGCCAAAAAAAAGAAGAATGTATTAGTAACCTCCAAAAGCTCCCCAAAGTAAAGGACAGAACTTTGAAATGTGTTCGTATGGGTGTTGAATGAAAAAGATGATGTAATCAGAATTAAGTGGATCTGGAGTGAAACTTAGTTCTTTCAGCATTATGTAGAAGACACTATGCCCAAAATAGCTACAGAATACTCATGGTCAGCTTTCATACAGTGAATAAGCATGACAATCAAACTACCCAAGGTATACTGAATTATCCCTTAAGGAATTATTTCACAATGTAAATGAATAAATTTGTATTCTGGCTCTAAACATTCTTGTATGAATTTGGAAAGAATAAATCAGCTTTCTGAAGATCTGATGACCTTGATGAAATGAACTCAAGTCCACAGCTACTTTGACCACACTCTCCTAACCCTTCATTCATTCTGCAATAAATAAACGGGAAAAACATTTTTATTCCAGGCCTTATAATTAGTGAAGACATTCTTTAAAATACCAAAAGTGCTTACAGATGGGTAAAGGATGGCTAGCCAGTTAGCTCCCAAGAACTCTTACTAAGTAACTCTTCTTTAATTCATTGTGGTCTAGAATCTGACTCTGTGTACTACAAGCCCAGAAACTCCTTTTAACAGGATCCCACGGATGATCAGGCTCAGAGAAGCTGCTTCACCCTTTCTAAACTTTTAAGAGATTAAAGTAAATACACTACAGTGCTATATAGTAGGCAGAACTCAAAAGATATTCTTCTCCTCCTCCTAAGATTCTCATCCCCCGATTATTCAAACACTAACTAGGTACTACTATGAAGGGACATTACAAATGGAATTAAGGTTACTAATCTGCTGATTACCCTAGATTATCCACATGGATCCAATGTAATCATATGACAGCCCTTAAAAGTAGAAGAGGAAGGCAAAAAAGTAACCCAGAGATTCAGCACAGTAAACGTTAGAAAGATTCCCAGCATTTCATCAATGACCCTCAAGGACTTTCTATGCTACTGGCTTTGAGGCTGAAGGAAGGAGGACAAGAGCCAGGGGAATGCGGGCAGACTCTAGAAGCTGAGAACAAGTCCTGGCCATCAGTCAGTAAGGAAAACAGTGTCATCATTTCTACATCCTCAAGGCAGTGAATTCTGCCAACATCCTGAACAAGCCAAGTGGACTCTCCCCGAGGGTCTCCAGATAGGAGCCCAGGCTAGCTAACACCTTGATTTCAGCCTATGGAACCTGGAACAAATGAGCTGAACCTAATGGTCTTCTGACCTAAGGAATTGTAAGATAAATTTGTGTTATCTTAAGCCACTTAATTTTTGATAATTTGTTACAGAAGTAATAGAAAACTAATACAGATTAATCTATAATGTGAAATTATTACTATCAAGACAGCCAGCATTTTTTCCTGTAAGAAAAACTACATAGAGGCCAAATGTCAGAAAACTGCTTGGTAAACTAGGAGATTCAGTTATATGTTTAATATGCTTTGATAACCAACAAACCTATCTTAAAGTATACATAACCTATCAAGCAGACTAGATATTCACTTTGGCTCATTAAACCACCTAGGGTTTGGAAGGATACTACCAACACTCTATCTCTTCTTTGGAGGTGGTAATACACTCAATCAAATTATAGCCAAGTCTTGTTCTTGTTTAAAAAGTCTGCCTCTTCAGTGATTTTGTGTATTAACTCATTCCCTGTGTTCATTTTATAACTTAATTCTCAGAGAGTAATTTTCCCAAGGCAGAGGAACGGAGTGCCAGACATAAACTTCACCACTGCCCACATGAATCACATAAAAATTCTACTAGCAGGCCGGGCGCTGTGGCTCACGCCTGTAATCCTAGCTCTCTGGGAGGCCGAGGCGGGTGAATTGCTCAAGGTCAGGAGTTCAAAACCAGCCTGAGCAAGAGCAAGACCCCGTCTCTACTATAAATAGAAAGAAATTAATTGGCCAACTGATATATATATAAAAAAAAAATTAGCCGGGCATGGTGGCACATGCCTGTAGTCCCAGCTACTCGGGAGGCTGAGGCAGAAGGATCACTCGAGCCCAGGAGCTTGAGGTTGCTGTGAGCTAGGCTGACGCCACGGCACTCACTCTAGCCTGGGCAACAAAGCGAGACTCTGTCTCAAAAAAAAAAAAAATAAATAAATTCTACTAGCACACAGGGACAACACATTGGCTACATGTATATCAAGAAACCTAAAAAGCAGCATACCTCTTCTCCTCATTTCAATATCTCACATAGTACTTCCTTTAAATATCTTCTAAATTTGAAACAAAATCTGAGTACATAAAACTATTTTTGTACTTAAATATCTTAGTAGGTCCACAAAACCCTAAAAACTTAGTGGATAATGACTACCAAATTCAGAAGAAAAGAGAAAAGAGAAAGATACTTGGAGATGAAGAAAAATTAATTCCCATTAGTTTTGAACATAAAATGAACATAAATTCCCAATAACTTCATTACCATTATTTCATAAGTATGATCACTTTGATGTTTCTTGTACTCAAATCCTCGAGTGAAACACTGCAAAGAAAAAAAACTAAGTTACAAAAAGCTACTTTTAAAAAATGTTTTACAAAGGATAGAAGATAATTTGTGAGTACCCCTGTGACAAGTTTTTTTTCTTTTGAGACAGGATCTTGCTCTGTTGGCAAGGCTAAAATGCAGTGGTATCATCATAACTCAACTGCAACCTCATACTCCTGGGCTCAAGCGATCCCCCTGCCTCAGCCTCCTAAGTAGCTGGCATGTGCTATCACATCTGGCTAATTTTTCTAATTTTTGTAGAGCTGGAGTTTTGCTCTTGCTCAAGCTGGTTTTGAACTACCAGCCTAAAGCTAAGTACTGAGCCACTGCACCTGGCCTAGTGAAAAGTTTTTACGAAGAATTCATTTAATCTTATCTACAACTGCAAAGAATGGTATTTTCATCATCACAGCTTTTCAGTGGTCCTCACAGAAAAAAGTCTGGAGAAAAAGACTTGCCTAGGACAACTCCTTCTTGGATAAGAGCACAAGCCCTGGAATCAGATTGCCTAAATGTGAATCCTGGTTCCATACTTACCATATTTCAGCAATTCTAAGACATATTTTTTCATATTTTAAAACTCTAAAAACAGGATTCATCTTCTAATGGAAAGTATATGGCCAGGGACAGTGGCTCATGCCTATAATCCTGGCACTCTGGGATGCCGTGGTGGTAGGACTGCCTGAGCTCAGGAGTTCAAGACCAGCCTGAGCAAGAGCAAGATCCCATCTCTACTAAAGACAGAAAAAATTAGCTGGGCATTGTGGCATGTGCCTGTAGTCCCAGCCACTTGAAATGCTGAAGCAGGAGGATCGCTTGAGCCCAGGAGTTTGAGGTTGCTATGAGCTAGATTGATGCCATGGCACTTTAGCCTGGGCAACAGAGTAAGACTCTGTCCCCCCCTAAAAAAAGTATATCACAAATTTCATTAGCCATTTTTACATTTTAACACTTATGAAATTGGGATCCTTATAATCAATATTGTCTTGGATCTGATAAAATAGAGCATTTGCTGGGTGACCTTGAGCAAGTTACTTAACCTCTCTTGGCCTGAGTTTCTTCACCTATAAAATGGATCTATAAAATGACTAATCATACTTACTTCATAGAATTATAGTGATGATTTAAGGGTTAATTCATGTAAAGTACTCAAAATAGTTCCTGGCACAGAGTAAGCACTTATAATTAGCATTACTACTGCCATTATTACCCACAAAATAGTTTGTTCCTTTGTCACCTGGACCTCACTCTTCAGCAAGACAACAGTCATCAAAAGGAATAGTCTTCCACTTCTGTTTCCTATATCCCAATACTTTAAATTTACTTACAAAAACAGTGTTAAGCATTAGGCTGATACACAGTTGTGGAATAATCAACAGTCTATATCACCCATCTGCTCTGTTCCCCAACTTTTCACAGGTAGAATGTGTAAGGGAAGATTGACTAGAAGGAATTGATTTAATAAGATGTGGTTCTCCCGAGCAATCTATAGTAGTCTCTGAATGATATATCATAAAACTAGACTAGGACAGGCGAGCATTATTAAGTTACCTGCAAGCAGAGGAAAAAAGGAGGTGGCCCACATTCAGCACACTTGATGTAAGGCTCCATGAGATAGGAGGAGCAGCCTCGGCAAGGTGGCTTATCAGGAAGGATCACCTAGAACAAGAAACAAATACACAGCTTCAAATAACCTTATGATTATCTTTGGACAACATGCAAAAAGGTAAAAATCTGCAAATGACTATGCAGGTATTGAGCTGACTTGAAAAGTTCATGGGAATGAGATGAGCTCGTCCCAAATAAGGAAAAGCAAAATTATGCTTTTTTATTAACACTCAGGGCAGCATTGTTCTTCCTACAGTGTACTCGCTACTTTAAATAGCATTTAAGTAGGTACTGCTCTCCAGAGAAATTTACAAACACACGTTTTTGAACTAGAAGTTTCGTAATACTGGAAACTTATTTTTCCAGGAAGATAAAATGGACACATACCTACACAACACATATATAGAGAGCAAATCTGACAAAATGTCAACAATTGCTGAAAGTAGGTAGTAAGCATACAAATATCACTGTACTGTTCTTTCAATTTTCTATAAGTTTGAAATTTTCGTAAGTTGGGAAAAAAAACTCCTTCAAATATATGCCTTGGGATATACTTGATATTTGAGTTGGGATTTAGACCCGGGAAATCTTCTTCCCTTTCTCCCATGATAAACACAGAACATAAGCAGACCTTTCTCCAGTTACAAAGACAATAGTATCTCTCCAAAATATTCAGGCAAGGAGAATTATCAAAACTCCCTAAAGTCATAAAAATGCAGATATATGTGTCCCAGATGCCTAAAACTCTGCCTCTCTGGAGTCAGGGCAACCTAGCAAAACTGTTCCCTATAATCAACCACAAGAGTCTAAGTAAAGAAAGTCTTTTAAGGTAGATGAACAGATCCAATTTTTCAGCCCAGGGCAGGATTTCTCACACTTTTTTTTTTTTTTTTTGAGACAGAGTCTCACTCTGTTGCCCAGGCTAGAGTGCCATGGTGTCAGCCTAGCTCACAGCAACCTCAAACTCCTGGGCTCAAGCAATCCTTCTGCCTCAGCCTACCGAGTAGCTGGGACTACAGGCATGCGCCACCATGCCTGGCTAATTTTTCTATACATTTTTAGTTGGCCAATTAATTTCTTTCTATTTTTAGTAAAGACAGGGTCTCACTCTTGCTCAGGCTGGTTTCGAACTCCTAACGTTGAGTGATCCACCCGCCTCAGCTTCCCAGAGTGCTAGGATTACAGGCGTGAGCCACCGCATCCAGCTTCTCACATTCTTTTATAGCATTTTCCTCCCTGAAGTCCAAGAAATACACTTCTAGGCACTTTTCTCTCCTCCAAATGGTGATTATTATTCAGTTGTTTTTAAATAAAGACATGGAGGAAAATAACAAAAAAGAAACGTACTCTTGGTAGTAGCTTCATATTAAATATAGGAAACAGCAGCTACTTCATTTCTCCCATTTTAACTTTTAACATGGAAGAACAAAAATTGTTTCATAGTAAGTACTAGATGCCAAATTACCAAATTACCATTACCAATTACCATTTTTACCAAATTATCCTCTTCCTCATTTCCCGTTAATGATATAAGCTTGCTTCTCCTTCCTCAAACTTTCCTCAAACAAAAAAGCATCAGCTACAGACTAGAGGTTTTAAACCCTTATGTCAAGATGCAATTATTTTGCAAAAAAGTAATTCAACTGGCCAGGCACGGTGGCTCATGCCTGTAATCCTAGCACTCTGGGAGGCTGAGGCGGGCGGATTGCTCTAGATCAGGAGTTCGAACCCAGCCTGAGCAAGAGCGAGACCCCGTCTCTACTATAAATAGAAAGAAATTAATTGGCCAAATAATATATGAAGAAAAAACTAGCCAGGTATGGTGGCGCATGCCTGTAGTCCCAGCTACTCAGGAGGCTGAGGCAGAAGGATCACTTAAACTCAGGAATTTGAGGTTGCTGTGAGCTAGGCTGATGCCACAGCACTCACTCTAGCCTGGGCAACAAAGTGAGACTCTGTCTCAAAAAAAGAAAAAAAAGTAATTCAACTTACAGTTCTTAAAATTTCAGACAATAAAAGTATAAAGAATGTCTTTCACTATTAACATTTTGAAAAATATTTTTCGGCCTTCTATGTTTATGTGTAAATATTTAACAAAAGTGAGAAGCTATACATGATGTTTTGTACCTTATTTTTTTTTATTTGACAATGTATTATGGACATCTATGCATGACAGTACACACAGATCTTGTTCTTTTTTAATGGATGAATAATATTCCATTGCATCATTTATCTAACCTAATGGTTCTCGACTACTCTCTTAGGGAGACATGTTAGAAATCTCAGGAGGTGCTTTTTTGTTGCCACAATGACTAAGAAGCACTACTGGCATTTTGCAGGCAAGGACCAGGGATTCTAGATATCCTGCAATGCTGAAGACATTCCTGAACAACAAGAAATTGACCAGTGTCTTGCACAACTTTCAAATGTCCCATTAGACATTCAGGTAGATGAAAAACCTCCTAATTACATGACCTAGAACCTAATTATGTACTATATGGAGAGCAAAATATTTTTGACAGTTTTAATATACACTGAAATTTCCAGTAAGGCAATTACATGTAATCCCAGAGGACAGATTATATTTTATTTTATGCAGAACTTTACCAGGAGTTACTCAAGCTTGTGGTATTTCTTAGTCACCAATACAACTGAATCATTCTGCATTTACAGTTGTAAGATGCACAGTGATTTGACATATGAGTAGAAGCATTTGGCTGCTGAAGTCATTGTGTCTTCTATTATAATCATGTCTAAGCATATTGAAATACACATTTTATTTTTGAATTGTATCACTTCATTAAAAATTAATTTTCTTTTATTTATCTCTTTTATTATAGTTAGGGCATTATTATCTTTATTTTTTCAAATCATGTATATTATCTATGTATTTCATTTCCAAATATTAAAAAGGGATTTTAAAATATTATAAAAAGATTGCCAGGCATGGTGGCTCATGCCTGTAGTCCTAGCTACTATACTTGGGAGGCTGCAGTGGGAGGATGGCTTTAGCCCAGGAGTTGGAGGCTGCAGTGAGGTATGACAGCACCAAAGTACTCCAGCCTGGGCGACAGAGCAAGACTCCATTTCTAAAAATAAATAAAAAATATATGTATTATAAAAAGAATTCACTGGGTCTTGTAAGGTTGAAAACAACTAATCTAACCAGTTCTTTACTGGTGGGCAGTATGTTGTTTCCATTTTTTCACTATTACAAAGAACACTAAGATCTTCGTATGCACAACATTTCACGTCTATTTCGCAGGAAATATTATTTTCCTAAAACTAGAATTGTTCTGTGTACAGGGAGTTGCTGAGCTTTTTGATACCTAGAACTCAACTGTCCTTCAAAAAGGTATTTCAGCCGGGTGCGGTGGCTCACGCCTGTAATCCTAGCTCTCTGGGAGGCTGAGGCAGGCGGATTGCTCGAGGTCAGGAGTTCAAAACCAGCCTGAGCAAGAGCGAGACCCCGTCTCTACTATAAATAGAAAGAAATTAATTGGCCAACTGATATGTATATAAAAAATTAGCCGGGCATGGTGGCGCATGCCTGTAGTCCCAGCTACTCGGGAGGCTGAGGCAGAAGGATCGCTCGATCCCAGGAGTTTGAGGTTGCTGTGAGCTAGGCTGACGCCACGGCACTCACTCTAGCCTGGACAACAAAGTGAGACTCTGTCTCAAAAAAAAAAACAACAACAACAAAAAAAAAGGTATTTCAGAATTTTTCTATAATCTAGGAGTGGAGAAAAGCTTTTTTACAATCATTCGAAATCCAGAGGCCACAAACGGTTAATAAATTTGACTACATTAAAAAAAATTATTTTGGCAAAAACACCATAAACAAAGCAAAAAATCAAGTAAACTGAAAGAAAATATTTGTAAACATATCAGAGATAAAGGGCTGAAATTCTTACTATACAAAGAACTTTTAAAAATTGAGAAGGAGAAAAAAAGACCAAAGATCCTACTGCAAAAGACACAAAGAGATAATTTGGGGGAAAAAAGAGAGACATAAAAATGAGGGCCAGGCATGGCAGCTCACACCTGAAAACCCAGCACTTTGGGAGGCTGAAGTGGGAGGACCACTTGAGCCCAGGAATTCAAGACCAGCCTGTGTAACATAGCAAGAGCCCTATCTCTTAAAAAAAAAAAAAAATTAGCCAGTATGGTAGTGCACATCTGCAGTCCTAGATACTCAGAAGGCTAAGGTGGCAGAATAGCTTGAGCCCAGGAGTTCAAGGTCACAGTGAATGAGCTATGATTGTGCCACTGCACTCCAGCCTGGGTAACAGAACCTGTTTCTATTTTTAAAAGGCCTTAGATATGAAAAAATGTTTAGCTTCACCCATAAAAAGAGAAATAAAAGTTAAAACTATACTGAGATATAATTTCTCACCATTCAGATAGGCAAAAATTACAAAGCTTGATAATAAACTTTCTTACTTGGGCTGTGGAGAACTAGGCACTCATATATATTGCTGGTAGGAATGTAAAATGGTACAACTCCTATAGAAGGGATTTAGCAGCATCTACACAAAACTATGCACACTTTTATCTTTTGACCTAGCAATCTCGCTTCTAGAAATTTACCCTGAATATACACCTCCAAAAATACAAAAATACACATCTCTAGGGTTATGCATTGAAATACTATTTGTAATTACAAAATATTTAGATGTCTAAGCATTAGCAAATGTTTAAAGAAACTAATGGTACATCCACACAATGGAGTACTATGCAACTATAAAAAAAGAACAGGAATAATTTCTATAAACTAATATAGTATTTCCAGGAGATAGTGTTAAGTGGGGGGAAAAAAGCGCAAAATGCAGACAAACACTCCACCCTCACCTTCCATTTTCCCTGCTACTGCCTCCAGGCCTGTTGCTATAGAGCAGGCATCCTCAAACTATGGCCCCCGGGCCACATAGGGGCCACTTAGCACATTTATCCAGCCCTCCGGGTGTTTCTGCCGCCACAGCCTGTCCTGCTTAGCAGCCAACTGGTCCTGGGCACTCTCCAACGGTCTGAGTCACAGTGAACTG